TTTTATAGGTAGCTTTTTAATAGTAATAGGAATCCTTACTTATAATATCCTTAATTATCTAGTCGACTTATAAATTATTGCATAAAATAACTAAGTATTAGTTATTTTATAAATGAACAGATGTCACAAATTAACGGTAATATAGACGAAAGGAAGTAATAACGAACTCAATGACGTACAAAAGAATAACTCATCGGAAATGTTTTGCATAAAACTGATGTCTTTAGACGTCAAATATTCTAATTAACCGCGTAGAATTTTTGAAAAATGGAAAGGATTATTTTTCCTACAAGAAGATAGGAGTCGGTCAGTTCTCATAGATAGTCAACACGCGCTTAGATGCCATTCATATTCTTTCAAGTAAATTATTAATGTTGAGGTATTAGCCAGGTCAAGGTTAACTACTGCATTTACAAATGCCCATATGTTGTAGTCCATTGTAATGGATTAATTAATTAAAGCGATTTCATGTACCGCTTATTATAATTCGTAATTAATTCGCGCCGGTGAGCGACGAAGCACGAACACGTAACGTGTAAACAAGCGTGAACATAAACGACCGGATGCGACGGATGAATAAACGGTAACTAAATTAATCGTGGCCTGAAAAATATTGTGCTCGACTCGGCATCAATGTATCATCGATTCTGCAATTCGACACGTGATTTTCGATTTTAACATTAATTTAGACGAATTCGTTTTATGAAAACTCCTCGCTAATTAACGAAAACTGATGTCATGTTCGATGTAAGTTCATACAAGATAATCAGTAATATTTAATATTATAATGTAAAGAACGTTATATAAGAAGTTATGTTATGAAGTGAAATCTAGAACAGATAGTGTTAAAACCTCTAGTAAAATAATTAACAAGGATTTTGAGTGTAAAGACAGCAAAAAATAAAGTTCATGAACGTAAATGTTTATAAAAAAAATGCAGTAAGCAATATCGAACAGTGCAACAAAATATTTATCTCTATATACATAGTACAAAAGATGTGTCATTCATTCATTTATTAACACCGGAGCTAAAACTCTTACAATTCGACCTAAATCTTCACATTTAGCTTACATACATACATGTGTATAACTATTATAACATAGAGAAGCACTAAGAAGACATTTAGACCCAATGAATCCCTAATGGGTGAAAAGTAGTGTATTTTTATAGATTTTTCAATATTTTTGAAGTTTCATGTTGTTACAGATTTTGGTTTTTGTTTAGAAAGATTATTCATACTGTTAGAGTCGTACGAGATGCGTATAACTATCATATGTGCCTCCCTTTACATGCGAGATGAGTCGTGAGTTAATCCAATTATAGATTATATATTATTCAATATTCAACTTTGTGTTCCATTCGTATTACTTATACCTGTGATTACATATAAATATCTAAAAATTAATTTCAGTATTATAATCCAATCAGAATGCAAAATCCATCCCTAACAATAAGAGAATGGAAAGTAGTCAGCATATTTACAAACTCTTCAACATTTTTGAAGTTCCCTGACGTTGTATTGCAACATAGTTCTTATTTAAGAAGATTACGCATACCAATACCAAAATTTCTGGATTTTACTCTAATCATCCCCTAAATATTGTAAAATGAAGGTGTCCTGACTGATTTATATATCAACGCTTAATTTTAATGATTAATATTAGAAATATGATAGAATACCTTATCTTTATGATGTGAGCACCCATTAAGAAAGGGCTTCTTAGCATTTTACTCCGGGGGTGTAAAAAAAGGTGAAATATGTTTTTATGAATTTGTGTTGAACTTTCAAGTCTCTCTTAGAATATATGATTTATCGATTAGATTTTTATTTTAAAAGGTTATCGAATGATGTATGTAAAAATCAATTTTTGACACTACCTCCCTACCTCCATATGAAGGTGAAAAGTGATGACATATATTTTCATACATTCAAATTTCCTTTACATATTTGACACAACGTCCTGATGTTTATTGAAGTTATGGTTATTAATGTTAATTAATTCTACAAATTCATAATTTATAAATCTAAATTCATAATGTATAGAATTAATTCGTAATAAACGGCGAAGCCGTGAGTATCGCTAGCCTCTAGTATCGATACAGCTGATATGAATCACGTGTCCAAGGAAAAGGTATGTTGCTAAGAACACACAATGGAAGAACGAACGGATATATATAGAATGTCGTTTACCCAGTCACGGCATCCGTTCAACCCCTCAAATGACCTCATCCGAGAGTTTAATGAGCAACATTTGTCTTTTCCGAGGAATCTTTTCAATCCGAACCTTGACGATCGTTGCCAAAGATTCGAGCTCAGAATCTAGTACTCAGAGGAATTCGCTTTAGTAGAAATACTGCTAAGAGTGATCAAGTGTTTATATTAAGAATGTCAATGAAATTCGAAATTGTACCTATTTGTTGAGGGACAAGTTCTAGAAATACCAAGTACCGTTTGAGGTGATATAGATTTACTGTAATAAAGTGGATCGTACTGCTGAGAGTACCATCAAAGAATCAATTAACCTATTCTAGAGTTATAAAAAGACGATGATATAAGAAGAGAGCTGATTTTTTACCTTAACATAAGCAGAGGAAATAAGAAAATTGGATAAGTGAAAAATGAATGTATACTAAGATTAGACAAACAGAGAAACACTTATAACAAAGTCCACCTAAACCCGAGAGACAAAGACTGAAATAAGTAAATAATATTTTAATGTTATCGATAGGCTTCCATTATTACACCATTGGGTGGAATGAATATTCAGAAAATATTTCTATATATCTATTTATAAATAGGGTTCTCAGATAAGGTCTTCCACCACTAGATGAAATATTGGTAGCAGAGAGGGAAACACAAATTGTACATACCTCCCCTCTCTAAGAACCCTGTCTACAGAATTGTGAAAAATGTAAGAAAATAGAAAATGAATGGAATTTCATCCACCGTCGTGATCCAAATCATTATAATTGATCGGAAACGCGTTCAGTCACGGTAGGATGGAGATTTAATGGAATAATTTGGTTGATTTAACAAATACCACAGAGTAACGATTTATTTGTAGCCGAGGCATCGGTGCGCGACCAGTACCCATCCTTCGCTCACACCCATTACAAGCTCTCGGCTCCACTGATTGTTCCGAGTTGTATCTCAATCGGATCTCGATAAATTTAATTCTCGCTACGCTACATCGCGGTACCTCGCCTCGTTGTTGAATTGTGAAATGACCAGATACATCCATACATACTCGTAACGATTTCCGCTGATTGAAAAACAAAACAGCCTCGAAACGACCGAGGAACAAATTCATTGAAACACGTATCAATTTATCGCCTTGTATGAAAGAACTGTAGTAATGTAATAAGAAAAATAAAATAAATGAACAAAATAAAACGTGTTAGGTTACTGTTAAAGTGTATAAAGAACTCTGAAACTTGTTTCGTTCGTCTTTGATTCTACGAGGCGAAATAAATAAATATTGTAGTAAAATATCGTTGAAGAGTAAACGTTTTGTCAATTCTTCTGAAGAAAGTTAAAGAGGATATCGTCCAGGGTAGATACGTTCGTCGAGAAAAGAGCTGAAGGGGGATGAAAGAAGACGTTGCGCAAGAGGGTAGACAAGCAACGACGACGCGTCTAAATGTGTTCGAGTTCTAGCGAAAGTTCGCGATCGAAGCTCTTGAGTAATTCCTTAGTCGAGACTTTACCAAAGGTTTAAATGGACCGCGATATCCCGAGGAAAAGGATATCGACATTATTTACTCGTCTTAAGTCGGACTTTCTCGTTATCCTCTGGTTTACCTTCGCCATACCCGTTCTTATCCTCAAAATGTTCTGTAATAGGAATGTTTTCTTTTTCTCGTTGTTGCAACTTTTAATGTCTGCACTTAACGGTTCGCCTCAACGCTGGTGGCAGCTTTAAGTGGTTGACCTCGTGAGAATGTTGCAAAATTCAATAATTTTCATAAATTCTTTCAGAATGATAGTACGTTTAACATTACACTTTTTTGCGATTGATTTAATTATTTTTCAATTACACATAACAATTTTTGACAACCCTTAATTAATTCTTTATTGGTTTCATTCCACCCACAATGAGCACACATTTGAAAGTCGTATACAGGATTTCCCAAAACTAGTGTAAGATATTGAAATGGAAAAAAACCCCGACCAATCAGAGCGCTCGGTTGGCGCGAGCTCCGAATCGGGAGCGTTGGCTCGAATCTGGTCGCCCGGCCTCTAACGCGTGAACAACCGCTTCACTCAATACGAAGCGTTTTAAGAAAATGACGAATAATAAACT